TCCCACGTGACTTTCTCTCACGCGTGGGGCTCTTGCGTGGTGGCGGGCAGGTAGCTGCTGTATTTTCCCCAGGTTTGATCTGTTATTACTTAAACGGGCCAAGTGGGAACGCTGCAGCACCTTTAGCTGGACACAGCAACTTTTAACCTTCGGCATCCCGGTGTGTTGTGATAATCATGCAAATCTTCAGACTCATGTTAAAAAAAAACCCCGACAGATTAAATTATTTTTCTGGCAACTCACAAATCCGTTAAAAAACAAAACAAAAACAGCCAGGCCCGTCAAAGACCAGCGAGGTGCTAACCACAGTTTTACACCTTTCCCTGTAACTGGTGCTAGCCACTGTCAGAGGGAGGATCCCGGGCTAGGTGGGCTTTGTGGCTGATCCTTTCTGGTGGCGTCTGGGTTCTGATGATGTTCTGTGTCCCGTCACCCCTTTGACACCACGGTCCATTCCTTTGGGACGGCAGCCCTAAGGACCCTGCTGAAATCCACGGGATGACTCCCCACGGACTCCAGTGCAGGTCCGGACATCCCCCTCCACTCGGCTCTGATCTCCACACTGCTTTCGTCAGTTTCCTGCCTGTGGCTGCAGCCAGTGATCCTGCGTGCGTGGCTGGCCCGGTCAGGGGCTGGCGCATCGCATCTCCCCGGTCGCTAACCTGCTGTGTGGGAGAAGGCTCTTTCCGGTGGCTGCTGCATTATTTCTCATTTTGCTGTTATTAGATGAAGGGGGAAGCCACAGGCGTGTCGGCCAAGCCTCCCACAGGGGAGCCTGTCACTAGCGCCAGCATAAATCAGCAGGGCCTGATTCTCCAGGACCCTGCGAGCTCATGCTGCCGGTTGCACTGATGCGGAGCGGGTGTGAAATGCTGCCGGATCAGAGGGCTTACGTGTTTCGCTCGCGTTGCACTGGTGTGAGCGAGGGCACAAGGTGCCGAGCAGTGGCGAGCCAGACCGGCTCTGACGGGAGGGAGAGGGGAATGGGGCTGCATGGCTCTTGGGAATATTCTCCTGGAAGCACCTTGGGCCCAGTTGTGGTTCACACCGCAGCTCCTTTGCACTGCCCGAGAGGTGTGAAGGGACCCCCCCCGGGCATTGCTAGCTCCCAGGCTTTCAGCGTGACTCTTGCGATATTTGGTGACTTGCTGCAGACTCCAGTTCCTGGAGTTGCATGAATCCAGCAGACTCCAGATGTGCGTTTAGTAGGAAAAGTAAATTCCTAGCTCTCGTGGTCGCAGAGGAAAGCTTGAAAACGTGACCCATGCAAAAGTCAAATGACAAATAAAAAGAACTCCAGATGTATAAAATCTTATGGGTTTTCTTAAAGCCAATCTCATGGGTTTTTGGAGGCCTGGCTTATGGGTTTTTTTTTTTAACTCTTGGGGTTGGCAGAATGAATTAGCAGCAGGCCTGAGGTGCTGAGTATGAGTGCAAATAACTGCAAAATATGCAAGCTTTGGAGTAGAAAAGAGTCTCTCTCTGTGAAAAAGTGTTTTGATGGCTCTTGGCTCAGGTCACAAGGACTAGGCTGGTTCAGTTTGCATGGAGGAGCTCTCAGAAACAGGTTGGTGCTGGGGGGTGATTCAATTGGTGGCACATGCTTCCCCCTGAGTCAGTGGTGAATCACAGCCCCAGCTTCCAGGCACTGTTTTCAGAGATGAAGAGCAAAAGCCCTGACCATTTGTGGTTATAAAAGATTCCCCGGGAGCCTCCTAACCATCTTGTGAAATCCTTGCCACACGCCTAAATTCCTAGATTGTTTTTCATTTCCTTTCTTAGACTTTTGGGTGGTGTTCCTGTGCGCTGTTCAGACAGTGGCCACGCTCCAACGCAGCAGTGGCTGCATTTCAGGGGTGGAGACTGTTGTTGTTATTCATTGGTTACTTGTATTGCGGTAGCACCTAGGAGCCCCAGCCATGGAGCAGGACCCCACTGTGCCAGGTGCTGTACAAACACTGAACAAAAAGATGGCCCCTGCTTTGCCCTTGCAGTTTTAGTCTGTGAGACACTTGCAGCTGGACAGTGTATATGTCCTCTTTTCAGAGTAACAGCCGTGTTAGTCTGTATTCGCAAAAAGAAAAGGAGGACTTGTGGCACCTTAGAGACTAACCGATTTATTTGAGCATAAGCTTTCGTGAGCTACAGCTCACTTCATGGGATGCATACTTGCATAATGACTTAGCCACTCCCAGTCTCTATTCAAGCCTAAGTTAATTGTACCCAATTTGCAAATGAATTCAATTCAGCAGTCTCTTGCTGGAGTCTGGATTTGAAGTTTTACAGACATGAAAGTTGTGATATTACAACAGAAAAACTTCAAATCCAGACTCCAACGAGAGACTGCTGAATTGGAATTCATTTGCAAATTGGATACAATTAACTTAGGCTTGAATAGAGACTGGGAGTGGCTAAGTCATTATGCAAGTATGCATCCCATGAAGTGAGCTGTAGCTCACGAAAGCTTATGCTCAAATAAATTGGTTAGTCTCTAAGGTGCCACAAGTCCTCTGTTTAACAGAGATGCACCCCCCCAATACCCTGGATCCAAAGGCCCCTCACGTTAGTGTCATCTGATCCTAAACCTGTTCTCCTGATCCACAAGATACGATGCTATACAGACCACAGAGTGCTGTGGGATCCCTCAGGCTGAAGGGAGCTATCTAGACCACCTTGCATTTCCACACATGCCGTGGACAGGTACGTTCGGTCTGCTTTTTATTTTGGATGAAATGGCGGAAGGACAAAAAAATACAATCCCCCTGGGAGAAAGAGCACGGGGTGTGTGGGCTGCTCCAGGAGGGTCTGCTCCCGATGAAACCCGCAGTGGCTGCCTCTCTGAAATGTAGAGGGCCGGGACACTGAAGACCAAGGCATATCCTTCCTTACCCACCGGGTTCCTAAGCTATTATCTGTGCATCCATGGTACTTTTACGGCCCCTGTTACTGCCGCATCTAATCTGAGCACCTTGCCGTCTTTTATTGTGAGGTGGTGTTAGCTCCATGTTGCAGATGGGGAACTGAGGCACAGAGAGGCTGAATGCCCCTAAGGTATTTAGGCACCTAACTCCCAATGGGAGTTGGGAGCCTAGATCCCTTTGAGGATTGGCGCGTAAGTGAGATACCCAGCGAGTCTGTGGCAGCCAGGGCATTGAACCGAGGGCTTCCACCGGACCATCCTTGCGCATGCACTGATGGCTTGGCACCGTGACTATCTGAGGACAGGAAGCGGCTACAGCTCGGTCTTGGAAGCCTGCGTGTTCAAGGAGCATTGACGCCACTGAAATAGGGATGTGTGTTTGTACGGCTGCCGGGGGCTCATTGAAAGGTGCATGGCAGTGGGGGAAACGCTGCTGCCAGCTTCTCCTTTTGTTCCGAGAAGAAGAACAGCAATGACTCAGGCCGGATGTGTCTAACCCAGCCTTGTGCCAGGCGAGCATGGCAGCCGCTCTAGACAGGAAGCCAGGTCGCCTGTCTAAATGCCACCTGCAGTGGATCGCTCTCCCATCTGCGAGCTTTTCCTTCTTGTCACCTGTTGTTGCTCTCCACGGCCTGCAGCTGGTGCAGGTTTTGCTCCGCCTGCCACTGACATGCAGCTACCTCTGGGGCAGGGCGCGGCAGGGGGTCTGTGCCCGCTGCAACGATGCATGAGCTTTGCGGTGTCCTTTTTCTTTTCTAAAGGAGGGGAAGCGAAAAATAACTTCCTCCACGGAGACTTTCAGGGGGGATTTTTGCACAAGCGGAAGTGGAGTTAGCAGGACTCGTCCGGGGGGCCAGAATTACGATCTTTAACTGCATGGACAGAGGGATACGTTACTGGCCTTAACTGAGGGAAAGTTGAAGTCTTCTCTAGCCAAAGCAGGCAGAGTCCGGACAGGGGCAGTACGGACTTCCCCGGGCCGGCGCACAAGGCCCCTCAGCTCTCTTCCTTACGCTGCAAGGTATTTGGGGCGAGGACAGCTGCTTTGGGAGGTGTTTGTACCACCTTGCAGCACCGTGGGGCCCTGGCCTCGGGGTGTGACTGCCAGACAGATAATAGATCGCCTCGCTTGGATCGCAAGCTCCTTGCAGCAGGGGCTGTCTCTTTGGTTTGTGTTTGTACGGCGCCTGGCACGGCAATACAGATAATAACCGCGATGGCTGGTTGCTGCCATGCTGGACTTTCTTTGAACCAACAGCCCCAAGGCCCCATCTCAGCTCCCTTCCCCCAATCAAATCACACCCCTGCCCTTCGCAGCCGGTGGGCCTGATCCTGCAAAATGTTGGGCACCTTCCACGTGGCACTTTCCCCTTCTTGGCTCCTATTGCAACCCAAGGCTGGCCTGTTTGAGGTCAGCGGGGACAGGATTTGGCCCCCGCCTGCAGAAGCTGGATGGAGGGAGAAAATAACCCCACAAGCACATACAGGGCCCGATCCTGCGCTTGCTCGCTCCCCTGGCTTTGATATTCCTGATGTACCCTGGGGCACATGAAAGCAGCCCAGGGCCTCGCGCAAAATGGGTGCAAAACGCTACCGGGGTGCCGGTGCCGAGCGCTACCAGGCCAGCATGGTTGCGATGTGCACGGGGATCAGTCACTGCGTGCTGAGCTGGGCAAACAGGGCCCCACTGCACTGAGCTCCTGGCATTTGGCACCTGCTTAGCCTGGGCATCAGTGACAGCACGAGAGGTCAGGCTGAGGGGGGGGGGGCCCTGAGCTGCTCCCGGTGCCCATCAGGAGTAACCCCGCTGATGTCGATGGAGTCACAGCGGAGCAAGTCCAGGATCTGGCCCACGAGGCGCCAGGCAGGGTGGCCTGGGGGAACCGTCCCAGCAGGCGATGCCATGACGCCTGGTCACAAATGAGCCAGGTGGGCACTAAGCCTTATGACTGCGGCCTGCACGTGAAAGCTGGGGAAGCCCACAAGAGCCAGGGTGCCACTGGGTGAGGGGCAGCTGGATTTCTAGACGAGGGGGTGGAATGGGGAAGGACTGACTCGTGATGCATGTCTTTCTCTCCAGCCAGGCCATGCCGCTCGGGGGGAGAGGAACTGAGCCTTTCCACTGACCCCAGCAGCTCAACTGGATCCCAACTGGAGCCGCACAGAGCTTCTTCCTGCTCGGCTGCTGCCTGGCTTGGGGTGTGCGTGTCAGTCACACACCAGCTGTAGCTGGCTCGTTGGGAGGTAAGCGGTAACTATGGCAACGCAAGGAGGGTCCCCAGCAGGCTGAGGAGGGATGCACGTCTGGGAAGGGATTTTCCTCCTCTAGATCGCAGGGAGCAGCCCGTTCCAAGCAGGTTGGTTTCCTCGCGCCGGGAGCTGCAGTAGAGTGAGGTCAGGGAATCCGAGCTAGATGGGGACCCGGCGGGGGTTGGAGAGAGAGATCTGGGCTCCTCTTGGGTGAGGATGGGGGGCAAGCTGTTAGTACCCAGGTGCCAATCAGGAGCAGGTAAGATGGTGATGTTCTGTATTGGGGGATGACGATGGGGGAAAGAGGGGCTGTTTGGATGGGAGCTTCTAAAGAGAGCAGGCAAAGGGGGGAACCCACAGCTGGCTTTTTCCAAAGGGTTTCCCAGCTGGGGAATTCATGCAGCGAAGAGCATCGGCGCCCGGTTTCCTCCAGGAAAATCCCAGCTGCTAAAACAATGAGGAGCCCAGTGGTAAAACACGCACGTCCCCAATGGGAGCACCGCTCCCGTTAGCTGTTAATCAGGGAGCGAAACGAGGCACCAGGGACCTTTTGCTAAGCCGGGCTCCATTGTGCATTCTGGCCGCGCCTCTCTAGGCAGCTCACCGGCAGTGCCAGGGTGGGAAATCCAGAGGCCAGACCCGCCGATGTGTTTTACACACCAAGCTCGTGCCGTTCCTCAATCGGCTTGCGTGGCCGCCGGGCCTGATCCCCAGCTGGTGCAAATCGCTGCGCCGCCGTTGACTTCGGTGGAGCCACCTCGGTGAACACCAGCTGGCAACGCCGTCCGTGGGTTGTAAATTCACTCCAAAGGCATGAAATAACACCTGCCCAATGGGGCTGTTCTCAAGAGAGATGAAGGGTTTTCTTCTGTGCTCGGTAATGCAGCAGATGCAGAGGAAAACAGCTGGCATAAATCCACCAACTCCATTGAAGTCACACAAACTGGGCCACTGACTCCAATGGAGTGACACCGATTTACACTGGCTGGGGATCTCTTCCCAAGGTTCCTGTCCCGCAGGGTTCAGTGAGAGGTGTCGAGTGGTGCATTGGAGCCTGTGGGAATGGAGGGAGGGCAGTGCCGGGGCAGGGCAGGACTGAGAGAATGATACAAATGCAAACTACCCTGAAAGAGTCTCAGCACTGTGAGCCAGATCCTCAGCTGGTGTAAATCAGGGTTGCTGCATTGAGTTCAATTAAGCGATCCTGGTTTGCACCAGCTGAGGATGTGGCCCGTTGACACCAACGGAGCGGTGCCGATTGGCAGCAGCTGGGGATTTGGCCCAGCGCGATTTGTTTTGGGTGAACAGCTGCGTGGGGTGCTGTGCTCAGCCCGGTGCAGGGGGAGGGTTAAGGAGGGACAGTCGGTTGGCGGGACTAACAGAGTGATGACCCAGAGCCCTTTGCGTATCTCTATTGCTTCTCCATTTTTCACGGAGGTCATCGCTGCCCATTGCACTTGGTTCCAGGGCTGCAGGTGTCAGTAGCTCTTATCGCACTATCTACACAATACTCAGCGCTTTACATACCTGAGCTAATCCCTCCAGTGCATCCCCTGCTGGGGAAACTGAGGCATGGCAGGGGGACGTGATTTGCCCCAAGACCACAGACAGGGAGTTGAAGTAAGAGCCAAGGGGCAGAACTCAGAGGATCCTGGGTCGCTCTCCTGAGCTCAAACCACTACACCACTTTCACCCTCTCCCTCTCCCAAGAAGCTTTGCCTTCTCGTCTGTCGATCACTAGTACTGGAAAAAACCTTCTAGGCTGGGAACGTAGGGGCAGAACCCCACCTGGTGTAGAAGGACATAACTCCATTGGCGACACCAGGGCCAGATCCCTAGCGGGTGTAAACAGGCAGCGCTGCATTGGAGTTGATTGGCCTAATATTTATTAGATAGACGATGTAATCTTCATTGGATAGGATGGAGGAGACCACAGATGGAGGGATATGGATAGATAGAGGCATATGGATGCATACAGCTGGATGGATAGATCAAGGGACATGGATGGAGGGATATGGATGGATAGATACGAATGGATGGATACAGATGGATGAATGGATAGAGGGGCATGGATTGATGGGGATGGATGGATAGAAGGATATGAAGGGAAACAGATCGATGGAAGGTATGGATGGAGGGAGATGGATGGGTGGATGGAGGGGCTTGTTTGGTGATAGATCGATCAGGTAGCTAGGAACCCAGGGGGCTGCTGCCCTCTCTGAGAATCACAGGTCAGCAGCTGGGAATTACCTGCAATGCTCAGACAGGGCGGGGTCTCTCCTCTCCATCTCCAGATGAGAGTGTCTGTAATTCCCCGGGGTGGCTGGCTCCACAGGGTTTGGGGTGTGCGCAGCTGGGCGGCTAGCTCTGTGATAAAGAGGGCTGGACAGATCATCTCTTTCTGGCGCTGGTGGGGAAGGTGGGGAGAACCAGAAGAAGAACCCCCTGCTGTCATATTCCATGGGAGGGTGGGCAGGCAGTGAGAAAGCACCAGGCGCTCTTATTCCCAGCCTAGAGACCTGGAAAGAAGCTGCTGTTTCCCACCCGTTGGAAAGATAAAGCCAGGGATAGTGGGGAGGTAGAGAAAAGCCATGCTGATCAGCTGCAGACCCGCAGGTGCCAGCATCAGGCTGCAGCAGATCCACTGATCTGGGAGGAAGGGCAGCCAGGGAGAAGGTGGGAAGGGGAGGAATCTGTCTCTAGGGGGGTGCGATTTCTTCCTGTGCAGAGAGCCCAGGACCCCACTCAGTCCCTCAGTGACTGAAGTGTGTGCATTCATTTTGTGCTGGTCCCTCTTAACCCCAATGTAGCGCATCTGGTGGATAGTGCTACATCACGTAATACCAGTATAGAAGGGCCCCTAGAATTGCGAGTGGGGGGCGGGGTGGAATTAACCCTTTCTGCCAGCAGTTTCTGTCACTGTCACAGGTTCCCTCCCTGCACTGGATCTGAGAGGGATCCAGATGGCAAAACTGGTTCTGGACTTTGAACACCCCAACCTTTTAACTATCTTGAATAATTTTGTATCACCTGCAAATTTTGCCACTTCATTTCCACTCCCTTTTCCAGATCATTTAAGAATATATGGAACAGCACTGGTCCCATTACAGCCCCTTGGGAGGATCCCGCAGTTTACCTCTCTCCATTGTGAAAACTGACCATTTATTCCTACCCTTTGTTTCCCATCTTTCAACCAGTCACTGACCCATGAGAGGACCTACCCTCTTATCCCATGACTGCTTAGTTTGCTTATGAGCCTTTGGTGAGGGACCTTGTCAAAGGCTTTCTGAAAGTCAAAGTACAGTATATCCACTGGATCATCCTTATCCACCAGCTTGTTGACTCTCTCAAAGAATTGTAATAGATTGGTGAGGCATGATTTCCCTGATCGTTCTGTTCTTTATTGTAGTTTCGACCAGTTTGCCCAGTACCGAAGTTAGGCTCGCCAGTCTATAATTGCCAGGAGGGCCCATGGAGCCCGTTTTAAAAATTGGCAATATATTTGCTTCTTTCCACTCATCTGGCACAAAGGCTTGTTTCAGAGAAAGGTTACATACCACAGTTAGTAGTTCTGCAATTTCACATTAATACTTATAGAAATAGAAATTAATAATTAATTTCACATTAATGAATACCAGCTGGACCTAGTGGCTTATTGACGTTTAATGTATCCATGTGTTCTAAAACTTCTTCTGTTGACACATCGTTGTGGGACAGCACTTAACGATTTGTTGCCCACAAAGGAGAGCTCTGATGATGTGGGTAACTCCCCCACATCCTCGTCACAAAAGACGGATGCAAAGAAATAATTTACCTTCTCTGTAATGGCTTTGTCCTGCTTGGGTGTTCCTTTAACACCTTGGTCATCCAGGGGCCCCACTGCCTGTCTGCCAGGCTTTCTGCTTCTGATGTACTTTAAAAAAAAAGGTTTCAGTGTAACAGCCATGTTAGTCTGTATTCGCAAAAAGAACAGGAGGACTTGTGGCACCTTAGAGACTAACCAATTTATTTGAGCATAAGCTTTCGTGAGCTACAGCTCACGTCATCGGATACATACTGTGGAAAATACAGAAGACGTTTTTATACACACAAACCATGAAAAAATGGGTGATTATCACTACAAAAGGTTTTCTCTCCCCCCACCCCACTCTCCTGCTGGTAATAGCTTATGTAAAGTGATCACTCTCCTTACAATGTGTATGATAATCAAGGTGGGCCATTTCCAGCACAAATCCAGGTTTTCTCCCCCCCCACATAGCCCCCACAAAAAACCCAGTCTCCTGTTGGGGCTCTCCTTACAATGTGTATGATAATCAAGGTGGGCTCGTTCACCTGCACATCTACCAATGTGATATGTGCCAGCAATGCCCCTCTGCCATGTACATTGGTCAAACTGGACAGTCTCTACGTGAAAGAATAAATGGACACAAATCAGATGTCAAGAATTATAACATTCATAAACCAGTTGGAGAACACTTCAATCTCTCTGGTCATGCGATTACAGACATGAAAGTTGTGATATTACAACAGAAAAACTTCAAATCCAGACTCCAGCGAGAGACTGCTGAATTGGAATTCATTTGCAAATTGGATACAATTAACTTAGGCTTGAATAGAGACTGGGAGTGGCTAAGTCATTATGCAAGGTAACCTATTTCCCCTTGTTTTTTCCTACCCCCCCCCCTTCCTCAGACATTCTTGTTAAACCCTGGATTTGTGCTGGAAATGGCCCACCTTGATTATCATACACATTGTAAGGAGAGTGATCACTTTACATAAGCTATTACCAGCAGGAGAGTGGGGTGGGGGGAGAGAAAACCTTTTGTAGTGATAATCACCCATTTTTTCATGGTTTGTGTGTATAAAAACGTCTTCTGTATTTTCCACAGTATGCATCCGATGAAGTGAGCTGTAGCTCATGAAAGCTTATGCTCAAATAAATTGGTTAGTCTCTAAGGTGCCACAAGTCCTCCTTTTCTTTTTATAAAAAAAAA